TAGAATCTGCATGCAAAATGCCAATCTTCTAGCTTTTATAGTTTCCGAGATCTATTTGTTTCGTCAATACCTATCGATTGGCCTAATAAAAGTTGGCCACGCCCACTCTAACGCCCAAAAACTCATTAAACGCTTAAGCCTGGCTAGCGCCTACATTTCCGCCTTTCATGGCCCGTGGTACCAATGTCTTGGGGTAGATTGCGCAATACACTAGCGGCATCTAACGGATGACTTTGGAACAGCTGGCCAAGGTGCTCAACAGAGTCTACGTTTATTCTCGATAAGGATTTCTATTAAAGGAAATTGCGATGGTTTTCATTTGTCAATACCGAACTATATCCCAAGAACTATGCAAATCAAATCAAGTTTGCCAAATTGGAGGTCTGAGTCAAACAATGGCGTATGTGTGTATGCTGGTGCAGGACAAAAGCAGCCTGTGCTAAAGCAGCGCTGGTGCTGATGCTCGTGCTGTAAAGCTGCCAGCTCTAAGAGATCGCCTAATTCAAATTGATAAATTGAACTTTTTGTCCTTTTTCCTGTGGTCACTCTAATTCACATTATGTTAATGCAAAATCTAAAGTTGTTTAGCTAGGTATCTAATAGTCGAGGCACTCGACTATAGCGTTCTCTCTTGTTAAATTTAAATTGCAGTCCTATAATTTAGGTAATTTCCTAAAACAAATTTTTTTATTAAGGAAATACTTTTTTTAAGACTATATTCCTACATTTTTAGTAAAGTGTGAAAAAAATGTTTATAAAATTATAATCATTACAAAATTCTTAAAATTCAAGCAGTCCTTGGTTTGGCCTTTAACGATTTATATGAGCGCAATGCGAAGTCGGCTAACTCTTGAGCAAAGGCCTGGGCTCGATTCTTAGCAGAGTATATACATACATATATGAATTTAAAATAGTTTTTTAAATGTAATAAATGATTTAAGCAATACATGTCTTATTCAACTAATCTTATTAATCTTAATTATAGACTTGAGATCGTAGGTTCCTCAAAATTTATGAAAATAGCTCCCAAACGAGGCCCATCGAAATGGGTCAAATAACGTCTGAATTATTTGAAATTAGCAGTACCGACCCTGCAGTTCCGTTCATCACCTTTTAATCGATGAATCATCACCAAAAATGTCTGATTGTTAACTGATGAAATTTCATCAAAACAGTGATGAATTTAACATTGCCATGTCATAGGAGTTAATCTGTGAAAAATTCATCACATTTTAATCAGTAATTCACCACTTTTTAATCAGTTATTCATCACTTTTTAATCAGTAATTCATCACATTTTCATCAGTAATTCATAACATTTCATGAGTAGTTCATCGGTTTTTCGCCGCTTTTTTATCGGTTTTGCACCGCTTTTTCATCGCTTTTTAATCTAATTATACCCGTTACTCGTAGAGTAAAAGGGTATATTGTATTCGTGCAAAAGTATGTAACAGCCAGAAGGAAGCGTTTCCGACCCTATAAAGTATATGTATTCTTGATCAGGGTCACTAGCCGAGTCGATATAGCCATGTCCGTCTGTCCGTCTGTCTGTCCGTATGAACGCTGAGATCTCGGAAACTATAAAAGCTAGAAGATTGGCATTTTGCATGCAGATTCTAGGAGTTCCTACGCAGCGCAAGTTTGTTTCAAAAAGGTGCCACGCCCCCTTTAACGCCCACAATCGCTTATATACGATTTTAAAAATTTAAATATTTCGGAAAAGTAAAAATGCAGTTTTATTGTGTTTATCAATACGTATCGAAATGTAGAAGAAATTTTTCAAATCGGACCATTCGTTAAAAAGTTATGCGTGATCAAAGTTTATATCTCCATCTCCCTCGCACTCCCTTTACCTGAGTAACGGGTATCTGATAGTCGGGGCACCCGACTATAGCGTTCTCTCTTGTTTTTATCAGTAATTCATAGCTTTTTCAACTTATTTTTATCAGTATTTCATCGCTTTTTCACCGCCTTTTCAACGCATTTTCGTCAGTAAATAAACACATCATTTAATCAATATTTCCATTTATTTAATTATAATATTTTTTTACATTTCATGGTTATTATCAATTATTATAATTTTAAGTATTAATCTTAATTCAATTTACATTTTCAGTTGTCTCGGAGGTGTTGAGAATGTTTGAGGTCTCGATGCTCTTGGGCACCTTTTTTTGACTTCGTGCTTTATGTGCTGGCTCTTCCTGACCTAGTATATCTAACATAGAAAATATAGAATATATAAAAACTTACTGCGTTTCTTGCTTTGCCGACCAACAGTTTTATTAAAAGCTTCACACAATTAAATAAATAACACTCACCTAAATTTCTGATAAATTTAGTTATAACATTTCACAAAAATTTCAGCTTCGATCTGTTCTCTCGGTTCTCTCAAATGCAAGTGCATGTAAAAACGGTTAAAACAACTTCGGTTGAGAACAGGGCTCCATTAATCCTATTATTTTTTTATTAGCCTAATTTGTCTTTACATGTTTCGCTTCGCGTCAAAGCAGGGTATAAAAAGCATGTCCGACTATTCAAAATTATTACATTATTTAAATTTACCTAATAAATAAATCCATTTCTTTCAAAACGATCATAACGTATGTTATTTTAAAACGTATATCCACAAAATAATATAATTAATAAGTATCAACTTAAATATTTATTAGAAAAACAAAAATTATATTTTTTTAATATCAAAAGTGTGCAGCGGACGTTGTGATTTTTATAGGTTGTCCTCCACCACCGAGCTCATCTTATGGGGATAGAGACGGAGTAAGAGAGGGAAATCGAAATTTTTCTGCGTTTCCTACGACATGATATAATAGCATATTGTTTTTGTATCATGTCCTACGATCGGCGACTGAGAGTTTCAGCTTTGCCGTCGTCGCAGTTTGCTGCTAATGAAAGGACGATGAATTTTTGTAGTGATGAATTTCGGAACTGCAGGCAGTGGTTATAAGGGCACTAATACATCTAATCATCTAATCTAATTAATATCAGCATATTATAAGAAGAAAAATAGCCTCAAAGTTTAACATGCTTGCTGTGCCAATAATTAAGTTTGTCACTGTAGATATGTAGATAAATCTTGTTTTCTGCTTTAAAAAACAAAGAGGCACAGTTAAAGAAAAACAGAATGTAATATGTATATAAATTGAATAGACATCAGTTCGCTCAAATAATCACGTTTTTGGTGTCCTCTTATACATATGTATGTATGTACATACATATATGTACATGCACATTAAACGATTGGAAATGTGATGAACATACAAATTAGTTTTTCGTTGCGGTTGGCTCGACTCATCTCAGATGTACATATACATATGTATGTATGTATGTACGTTCTTTAGTGACAAATTGGGAAAAATAGTTTTAAGCATTTGTCAAAAGTGGCCCCGACAATTTTTTCATGTTCTATTAATGTTTTAGACCCTTTATGTGCGATCATGTCCACTGTCCATTAAACATTTTCGTTTACACTTTGAGATCTTATGGTTTAATTAAACAAAAAAGAATTTTATATCAGTGTTACAAAATTTTTTTCTCTATCAGTTATATTTTTTTCTAAACAAACTGTCAATTATTTTTATAGTGTGAGAGTTGTTAATTTTCAAAAGGAAGCTCGGGCAGATGAGTATATAAATAAATAAATTCTAAGGGGTTAATGGTATTGTATTAATATTTACATAGACCAATTGGATTTAGTTAGTTAATTATAGTCACCCAAAATCATTTGTTTATTGTCGTTTAGCTTTCTTATTTTCCATAAAAATATTTTGTTTCGCCAATTTTTTATTTCTTTTTGCAAATACTTAAATCCGTATAGAATTGGGTTAAGAACTAACGGTATGAACCGGTTTCGGCGTTGGTATGAAATTATTTTTTTTTTTTTATTCCAGACAGCTTGCGACGTAGCAACGCCGGTGGTATTTTATTTAAAACAAGAGAGAACGCTATAGTCGGGTGCCCCGACTATCAGATACCCGTTACTCAGGTAAAGGGAGTGCGAGGGAGATGGAGATAGAAACTTTGATCACGCATAATTTTTTAACGAATGGTCCGATTTGAAAAATTTCTTCTACATTTCGATAGGTATTGATAAACACAATAAAACTGCATTTTTACTTTTCCGAAATATTTAAATTTTTAAAATCGTATATTAGCGATTGTGGGCGTTAAAGGGGGCGTGGCACCTTTTTGAAACAAACTTGCGCTGCGTAGGAACTCCTAGAATCTGCATGCAAAATGCCAATCCTCTAGCTTTTATAGTTTCCGAGATCTCAGCGTTCATACGGACGGACAGACGGACAGACAGACAGACAGACAGACAGACAGACAGACAGACAGACAGACAGACAGACAGACGTACAGACGGACAGACGGACATGGCTATATCGACTCGGCTAGTGATCCTGATCAAGAATATATATACTTTATAGGGTCGGAAACGCTTCCTTCTAGCTGTTACATACTTTTGCACGAATGCAATATACCCTTTTACTCTACGAGTAACGGGTATAAATATGTAACCTAAGGGAGAGTCCAAATATACAAAAAGACGTTGGACAAGTTTTGAGATAATCAACGGGGGGATTGGGACGCACTGGCACAGAATCAAGTCGGGGCTTGGCTGCTTGTGTGAGTTCATTGAACGCCAAGAACTCTGAATGGTTTTCTGATCCTCATTGGTTTAACGATGTGGCACATGAGACTGTTCAAAATTCATCCCGTTTTTTTTCTGGCTTAGAAAAAGTTCAGCCTCCTTGCTTTAGGCGGAGACTTACATTTTGTTAAAGATCTACATATATACTTCACTTCTAAACGGCTTGACTCAGTATATTTCTCATTCGGTACACGTACGCGTACAAAACATCGAACCATCAGGGTTAACATTCCGTCATTGTGCATTCGTTCATTTACTTCATGTCTATGAACTTGCTTTACACTTCTTGAATGAAAGTGTCCATGATTTAATTCACTTTGCTCACACTCACTCAGTTGCTTAGCAGTAAATCCAATAACTTGCTGTCTTACTTCGCGTACACTTCATGCGTGCGGCATCGAATCAAAACTGTTGCCGGCTGAGCTGAGGACGCTCTTATTTATACTGAAATGTGTCGCAAAACATAAATAACGAGAGAACACTGAATCCAAGAGAACTACCTGTTTGAGGTCATCTATAATCATATTGGTCATCCATACTAAAATAAAAAAAAAATTTTGGTGTTTACTAATTTTGAAAATGCAATAAATTCGTTTTTTTTTTTTTTTGTAAAATCGAGTACATTTTTTTCTCTTGTTCCACAACTATTTTAGATATAACAAAAAAGAAAACCATTTACTCTTTAATTTCAAATAAAGTCAAGAGTATTCAAAATTTTACAACGAGAATTTGTTTGTATCTAAGATATGTATAATGAGTTCAACAAAAAAATATTATTCGATGTAATAAATTATTAGAAATGTTGTTGCCACTCGAAAAGATTTAAAACAAATTTTTTGCACACTTTCTTAGCCATACCATCCGTTTAATTTGTAATGAGAAATACTTTTTCTGAAACTCAAGGTGCGTTTCAAAGTAAATATGACTCTAAAAAAAGTGAACAAATGGTTGTTTCGTCGAAATGAATTTATTTAATTCAAAATAGTCTCCTTCTGCATAACGATTTCCTTTCATGGGCAAATGTTAATAGGAGTTGTTAATGGTTAAAATTAGGTGTTTAGTCAAATAATCGGTCACAAGCCTCGATCGGCGCATTACAGAGCCAACTTTAATCTTCGCGAGATGCGGGCCGAACACGTCGAATACGGCGCTCCAAACGCTTCAAAACTCTTCTACCGCATTAACATTTTGGGCGGGTGGAACAAATTCTTTGTGGACAATACCCTGGGAATCATAAAAACAAATCAGCATTGTCTTAACTTTTGACTTCTCCATGCGCGATTTTTTGGGTTTCGGCTCGTCCGGTGACTTCCACTCAGCACTCTGGCGTTTCATTTCGGGATCATCTTGGAAACACCACGTTTCGTCACCAGTCACAATATTGTCAAGGAAGTTTTTGTCCTTTTTGACCTCTGTAATGACGTCCTTCAAATGTTGGATTCTGAGCAATTTTTGCGGAACAAACTGGTGCACACACCATTCGTTTGGTCAAAATGCGATAAATCGATGTTTTGGAGATGTTCAATTCCATTTCCATGAATTTCAATGATGATATCGGCTGATTTTTGATGAATTCACGCACAGTTGGAATTTTATACTTTATAGGGTCGGCAATGTATCCTTCACTGCATACATATACAATATTTATGTTTAGATAATAGTGTTGCAGTTGGAGTCGATAATGGAATGGACTCTATCGATGGGTTAGGATGATAGAGCGATGGTTTTAGTGGTGCCCCCTTCTGCTCATGCCCTTGGCTATCTAGCTATTTAAACTAGCCCGGTTCGCTCTGGGTATAGCTAGGATGGCCTTGGATTCGTCCATTGACCCACTTTTGGGAGAGGGAAAGGGAATATGGCGTGATGGGCATGACATTGCGTAGGTCAGGAATCGGGTTTAGTTGCTGCCGGAGACCAAAGCAATGTAGACGGAGTTCTTTGTATTTTTTTTGTTTTACGTTTCATACAAAAAAAAAGTAAGGGTGCGAAAAGTGCTAGTGTCGGGTGGAAATTAAGTAGATATTTATTTATTTTAGGTCCACCGGGGACCCTAGTACATAGGGCCCCGGCAGTTTTCTTTGATTTTCGTTGGGAGTACTCCGCCACCAGTAGCAGCATCAGCAACAGGCGGCTGCGGTAGCAGCAGCAGCAGCAGTAGCAACATCAACATCAACAGCCACAGGCACCGTAACAGCCATCACCACCAACCAACACCGCCGCAGGCAGTTAGGTTATTTAACCACAATAAAATTCAACTTTACCTCGGTGAGTCCGTTCCGGCCCATATAACCCGAGCAGCACAACGTCGCGACCACGACGCGACTCCCCTACCACCCGGCATCTCGGACGTCACGGTCTGCAGTGGCCGAGGCACGGCGTAATACCGGTTTCCGGACCGCCACGTCCCTTTATAAGGGTCTCGAGTTGTCCTTCGGCGACCCGCCACTGGCTTACTGCCGGTGCCTAGCCCAGAAGCGGCTAAAAATCATGAATGTTATTTAAATGTACCCATTACTTAATTTACATATATACTTACCGTTGTTGACCTGTGAATTTATTCGGACTTAGACCCGAAAACCTTAGTTGTCCTCGTGTTGCCTGTAAAAAAGGGTCGCGATTGTTAGTTTTCGGCGGGATAGATTACAGCGCTTATTACTTACCGTTTGGCCTGTCCCTTCTTTTCCCCAGGAGCTCCTCAGGATTAGGTGACCCGACACACTAACCGTGTGTGTGCTTTTGTGCGCCTCGTTCACTGCTAGTTCCACCAATAAGTGACTGGTGGAACATTAATTCCGCGGCGCCTGTAGCCTTTGCCGAGGGAAGGTAATTTTCCGCTTTGACCGGTTAAATTTGAAGACGGTGGCCAAGTTTGGTCGTAAAGGCTATGAAAGGATAAATTAGTTTATAGGAGAGCCATTTTAACAATGTATAGCATAGGTACTTACTGTGGATATTAAATGTACATATCTGGAAACTGAAATGTGCGAGTGAGTTGTCGTTGTGGGGGAGATGGAGCTGTCCTAGTCGCGAGGAGTGACTTGGACCAACTGGAATATGGGGGATGTCCCTGCAAAAACCTCCGGGGCATCCTTGGTTGGGTGGGTGTGCTTGGCTGGGTCAACTATAGCCACCAAAACATTTTCCCGTCATCTATAATTATTTACGTTGTTTACATTTTGTATGTTTTGTTTGTTAGTGATGAGCGATTAATTTGTGATGTGAGACAGTGTAGTCATCGACGTTTATGTTGCGGGCTGTGGCATTAGGGGGAATCCGCCCGGAGAGAAGACTGAGCTAGCGGCACTGCCAAAGAACAAAATAAGCAGTTTGTAACATGGTGGCGCCCAAATTAATTTAATCGCATCGGGAGTGATGACGGGGAAGTCAAACGGCAAACCGAAAAGCACAGAACGGGAGGCTGGTTAGCAAATATTGCCGACAAATTGCTCCTGGTCACAGTTTTACCAGTAAACCAGTGATGGTTAGCAAATATTGCCGACAAATTGCTCCTGGTCACTGCATAGAGTAAGAAACTATATAGAGGTTTCATTTGCTCTGCCTGTCAATTTTTCGGCGCCGACCCGACGCCCATGTTCGAACGGTGTGGTGAAAATATCAGCTGTTCAAACATGTGCGAGTGACCAGGAATAGGATGCAACCGCCGTAAGAGCTGCGTGCGATTGAAGAGTACAGCAAGTAGGGGTTGAATTCAAGAAATTTGGCGGGCTTTGGTTTTATTTTGAGAGATTTATGATATTTTAGTACTGTTAAAGAACAAAATTTACACTTTAAAGAACCCAAATGACATTTAGCAAGGTTGCCTCATAAATAAAATTCAAAAAATGTGCTTATATATGGCTTAATTTGTAGAAATTGTGGGTTTTTCTGGAAAATGTGGCTCAGGGGTTAGATATAAATCGATGGCAATGCAAACTCCTTATTCTTTCAATGATTTTTCTGGAAAACCTTAGTTTGTTTACTTTCAATGCCTTCACCACACTTCGAACCGCCAAGCAGATTTTGTGTATAATTCAACGGTTCGCTCTGCCTGACGTGGCCTGACGTGACGTCACGAGGCTCGACGTTGCACCCATACAACAACGTGCTCTCAACACAAATCTCATTTCACTCATGTTTTACCGATAACAAAGTTGTGTTTTCTCTAATTTTTAGCCATTGAGTGCAAAATAAATGTAAAATGAGAGAAATCTGAAATGTGGACGTTGAATTCAGGCCCATGTGGAATGTGGACGTTGAATTCAGGCCCATGTGGAATGTTGACGTTGAATTCATGCCCATCCGAAATTTGGACGTTGAATTCATGCCCATCTGAAATGTGGAAACTGAATTGAATAAATGCCGAATCCCTACCTATGGTTTTTTTTTGTTTAAGTAATAAAAACAGATTTCAGTAATTAATAGTCCAAATTTTATGCGATTCGTATTAAATAATTTTCTTTAAATCTAGAACCAATTACCACTGTATACGGCCGACCAAATAAGTTCGGAATCATGTTACTTTTTATTCAATTTCGATAAAAGTAGTCTATTCCATAATTACACTCATACTAAATAAGAAAATTTTTGAATTTTTTGTTTCAAACAATTTTTACGACCTGTAAAATAGTCGCAAGCGGGGTTCCTGTTTCGTGCATTGGCCTACGTCGCCCTGTGTCCCTTTAAGATATAGACTTCCGAACGGCAAGCGCTTTTACCCTAATCAAGATACATATGCGTAAATAAATAAGAATTGGAAAAATTGATGTCAGTAGCTTACACACTGCGCGAAATATTCTGATAATCATCAAATTTGGACCGAATTCACCCTATTGTTTCTATGGGAGCTATAAGATATAGACGTCCGATCGTCCGATTTTCAAACTTGATCTGCGTGCACATGTTTTAGGATGATTGTGAAAGTTTCAGATCGCTAGCTTTTAAACTGAGCTCGCAAACGGTATTGAAACAGACGGACAGACGGACATGGCTATATCGACTCCCCTATTGATCCTGATCAAGAATATATACAAACGGAAACGTCTCCTTCACTGCGTTACAAACTTCTGACCAAAATTATAATACTCTCTGCAAGGGTATAAAAAACTAATTAAAACAATATAAATGTACATATAAATTAATATTTAATTTAATTTAGGTATATGAACGCAATATAAAATATTATAATTTTTCCTGGCCCAATATTAAATAAATTAGTTCCTAAAAACAATATAAATTTACTTCCATAAGGATTTTAATTCCGTCCCACTTGTTGCCTTTCATGTGAAATCAAATTCAAGCCCAACTGAAATGTGGGCCCCGTGTGGACGTTGAATTCAGGCCCATCAAAGGAAAACAATAACAACATATAGCCTAGTATCCACTTCGACGTAAACCGTACGCCAGTCATGAGAGAGAGCGAGAGGCAAACAGCTGGCGTTCACTTTTCGTCGGGCCTTTTTTTCACTTCGGTCTCCTGATCGACGAAAAAAATACCAGAAAATTGCATAGCGTTGCCAGTCTGCGGAAATGAACTTTGGGTCAACCCTAGCGAAAAGATTAAAAAATTTAATCTTTTGGCGTGCGCTTCTCACTGAACTTTATAAGAAATGGAGGGCAAAACTCCAAAAAATTCGCAAAAGTCGATTGCAGAAGCTTACATGAAGCTTATGACAGCAGTTTCGAAGACTCGAGTTTGCCAAGTGTAAAAGCTTTTTTACTCTGTTATCGGTAGGAAAGTATTTCATGCCCTTTTTCCATCACTAAAATAATTGAGTTTTCCTTTTGTGTCTACATAAGTTTCTCTATTTTTTTCGCACCAATAGCGTTTAAATGCTCAGCGATTTTAACCGGCAGTGAAAACATATTTATAAATAATTAATTATACCGTAAGCGCGAGGAAAAACATCCTGTGTGAGATTAAAATTGTGTAATAATTATATACAAACCGGTGCACATCAACAATGCGACACCAATGTCATTCCGCGCTCAGAAACCTTGTGCGCCAATGCAATTCTACAACGATTAAACAGTCATGGCCCTATGGCCAACTTTTGGGGACTCATCTGCTGAACCTGCCGTCCTCCTCTACTGCCGCCACCTGCACCACTTCTTCTAGCCACTACTCTAAGTTTAGCACCCACCTGTCTACTGAGCGGGCCATGGAGCTTTTATGCAACCTAGACGAGGAGGAGCGTAGCAACCTGCGCTGTGCCCTCGGCAAAATAGACGCCGACAAAGAGAAGAAGTTATACGAGAGTGAGTTCTTTTCGGAATACGTTTATTTCACTTGACTCTCAATTGACCGAATTTAAGGGTATGTGCGTTTCTAGGAAATGGTCATTGCGTGTCCAAGACGAGGGTTGCGGAAACTACATAAGTCCGTATTTGATGGCCCCGCTCCTAGAACAGGCTCCGTAGTATTCGGCAGTCTTGCAGGGATAATGCGGCACAGTAATGGCTACCGACGTTGTTGCTGATTAAGAGGGTCATCTTCAACTTTGCTGGATAGTTTACCGCGTACTGTTTGACTATCTCGTGCCCACCTCCGGGTCAAGCTTGCCGTTAGCAGCAAGCAGAGCAATGCTGCGGCTAACTCCATGAGTTTGGCCATGGGTTCCTTCTCGTCAAAACTGCACACCAGGGTCAAGAAAGATTGCTTTCACAAAATTGATTTGGGAACACTTACTCAAACAAGAAAATAAGCAAAGTTTATATATTCCTGCAGTTATTACAAAACGACTACATTTGTAGTATTGTATTGTTGTCCGATTTTGATAAAACTAAAAGCGTATTTCTGATATATCATTTTTTGGTTTTCCTATGGGAGCTGCACTCATATATCAGTTTCCGATTTTAAATGAATAAAACCCGTAATTCCGTAGTATTTAAATATTACCAAATCCGAAAGAATAACAAAATAAAATGAAAAACAAAGTTCTACTTTTTTACATTTTTTTTTTCCGATTGTTCCTATGGGAGCTATATGATTATACATATATACTACCTGCAATAGAAAGACAACTTTTTCAAGCAGATAGCTTTAAAACTAAGAGACTAGTTTGCGTAGAAAGGGACGGACGGACTGACAGACTTTAGATCGACTTTCCTGCTGATCAATATTTTATATACACTTTTTAGGGTCGGAAATATCTCTTTCACTGCGTTGCAAACTTTTGACTGAATTTATAATACCCTCTGCAAGGGTATAAAAAGCTGGGTCTACTAAAATTGAATTTTTGGTAATGTAAAGGCCAAATTTGCTCATCTCCAGGTTTGAATATCTTTCGATAACGAAAAAATGTACAAAAGGATTAAGTCGACTGCTTAATCATTTTTCGTCACAACGTTTGTGTGTTGAAGGTGAAATCGTACCTTTTTTGTCAGGAAAAACATTTTTTTTATAAATATTTTGTCAAATTAGTATTTTAGTATTTCGTATATTTGCAATAAACTTTTTTTATGGGGTGGGTAAACGACTTTTTCTTGAGGAATTCATACATATACAAAAGCTTTTATTTGCATCGAATATAACAATTTGAACAAGAAAGGAATCACAGCGTTGCAAACTTTTGACTGAAATTATAATACTCTCTGCAAGGGTATAAAAATTGTTGTAGTGTTGATGGATATTGAGTGTTATTTGTGGGTGTGCCAACATTTTGCAATAAACTTGCGCTGCGTAAGAAAATTTAAAATCTTCATGGGAAATCCCAAAGTTTTATCTCTTGTAATTTTCGAAGCCGATAGACGACTTTGCTATTGATCCTGATCAAGAATATATAAAGGCTTCCTTCCATCTCTATTTTCCAACGAATACAATATACCCTTTTACTCTACGAGAAATGGGTATTAAAACCATCAGTTTTCGAGAAAATAGCGATGCTTTCGTTTTCAGAGCTACCAACCTTAGTTGCTAACTTCTATAAACTTGTGCAAAATATAAAGTTATACAGTATTGTATAGCTCGTTTTCCTTAACAATTTGGTAAAATTTTCATGAAAAAAAGGCCATTTCTTTTTGGACTGCCTTTCGTTCTATAGTTAGCCATTTTTGTCGCTTATAAATATTCATTTACTCGCTTTTTTAAAAAATTTAGATGCAAGTTTCACGAAAGTTATTTTCGAGAAAATCGCTTCTACTTTTTGGCGAGTTTCTTTGAAGACATTACACACTCTTCGGCTCCTTTTGTTGTCAGAGCTTTCCATTTTCTTATTGACCTTTATCAATTTGTGGAATATTAGGTTATACTGCACAATGAAACAGCTGTAATAAAAATGAAATATTCTATAGTTCGATTTCAATGCTTAAAAACAATTAATCTAAATCGATTTTCCGATCGTTCCTATGACAGCTTTGGTTTATAGTCGTCAGATTTTCGGAATACATATCACCAATTCACTGGGGATACATGTACGCATTTCGTTTAAAAGTTAAATTGAAGTTCCTCCCCAAATTGGAGCATCACTCCTGGTTTTATCAGAATCAAGGCAAAATTTTTTCACCATGCCTATATTTTACCTTTTGAAACGCTCGAATACTTTAATAACAATTTATTTATTTGTAAGTACTGCATTAAAACACAGCCCCCTGCTTTTTGCCAAAAACCCTGTGCAAGTCTAGATTCAGATTTTCGAAGACAGTGCCAGCAATTCCATCTTGCATAATGCGTATTTGGAATATGGTCTTCAAGAAAAAAATGTGATGAAGAATTTTGTTTGGGTAGATTTTAATACCCTTGCAAAGGGTATCTAGATATCTAATTGAAACTTTGCACACACACTTTTTCCTTTGCACGCAGTATATAAGCTGCCATATAACTGATTGATCGGAAATGCCATAACTTTGGTGTTTGTAAAGTTAGGAGGTTTAGATTTTTTATGGGTATTATTTTTGGAAAATCATTCCGACCTACCAAATTGATCTTAGATTTTAATACATTTTTCGGCAATACACACTTGCAACTGGTATTATAATTTCAGCCAAAAGTTTGCAACGCAGGGAAGGAGACATATCCGACCCTATAATGTATATATGTATATTCTTGATCAGCACCACCAGGAGAGTCGATCTAGCCATCACCTTCTGTCCGTACGACCGTCCGTCCGTCCGTTTCTACGCAAACTAGTCCCTCAGTTTTAAAGCTATCTGCTTGAAACTTTCCTAAAAGTTGTCTTTCTATTTAAGTAGTAAATAGGAACAAACGGAAAAAAAATGTATTTATAATTTATTTAAAATTTATAATTTAACTTTGTTGTTTTTCATTTTTTCTTTTGTTCTTTGGGATTTGGTAATATTTAAATATTATGCAATTACGGTTTGAATTAAATTAAAATCGGACAACAATATCAAATAGAAACTATGGCAAAATACAGCGCGAAATCGACATATGTAGCTTCATTGTTTTGAGTAATATATATATAGAAATCGAAATATAGTCGTTTTGTAATAACTGCAAAGGTATATAAACATCGGCTTGCTGAAGTTTGTTTACTTTCTTGTTTATTGTTATTCTGTTGTTATTTTTCTTCTGTTGGCAAAACATTTTTGATTTTTATACTCTTGCAGGGGGTATTATAATATAATTTTGATCAAAAGTGTGCAACGCAGTGAAGGAGACATCTCCGACCCTAAAGTATATATATTCTTGATCAGGATCACCTCCTGAGTTGATATAAGCATGTCCGACTGTATATAACTGATTGATCGGAAATGCCATAGCTTTGGTGTTTGTAAAGTTAGGAAGTTGGGATTTTCTATAGCTTTTATTTTTGGCCAATCAATCCGACCTAATAAATTTCATAAGGATCGGCCGCCTATATCCTATAGCTGCCATATAACTGAACGATTGGAAATGCCATAACTTTGGTGTTTTTAAAGTTAGAAAGTTGGGATTTTTTATGAGTATTAAGAATGCATCATATGAATAATTTTGGAGAATATAATTTACAGAATATTCTGCAACTTCGGCTCCGCCCGAAGTTAGCTTGCCTTTCTTGTTTTAAACTTTTTTCAAAGTTTGCCTGCGAGAGTAAGGCGTGATTTGATATTTAGCAATTCAGTTTCTTTCTTTCTTCTTTCCCTCTTTCGTATACGCTAATGCCGATTTCACTCTAAAACCATTTAGCATTTTTGTCAACCATTTTTTTTCTTTTACCCTTTTTTTTCCAATGTTGTTCAACATTTTTTAATGTATAGTTTTTAGTGTAACTTGATTCTTAGATTAGTTTCACCATCTCTTGTAATTGTTGCTCATCTATATATACGTGTGTTATTATTCTAAAACATACGATGTTGCTTTGGGCCAACGTTATTCTTAGTCCTTTTTTATACCCGTTACTCGTAGCAGAAAAGGGTATATTGTATTCGTGCAAAAGTATGTAACAGGTAGAAGGAAGCGTTTCCGACCCTATAAAGTATATATATTCTTGATCAGGATCACTAGCCGAGTCGATCTAGCCATGTCCGTCTGTCCGTCTGTCTGTCCGTATGAACGCTGAGATCTCGGAAACTATAAAAGCTAGAAGATTGGCATTTTGCATGTAGATTTTAGAAGTTCCTACGCAGCGCAAGTTGAACGCCCACAATCGCTTATATACAATTTTAAAAATTTAAATATTTCGGAAAAGTAAAAATGCAGTTTTATTGTGTTTATCAATACCTATCGAAATGTAGAAAAAAATTTTTCAAATCGGACCATTCGTTAAAAAGTTATGCGTGATCAAAGTTTCTATCTCCATCTCCCTCGCACTCCCTTTACCTGAGTAACGGGTATCTGATAGTCGGGGCACCCGACTATAGCGTTCTCTCTTGTTTAATAATTGTTTTTGTTTTATTTGTCTACAAACTGCTCTCGTAGTTATAATTAAAATCAAATGCAGTTGAAGAAAAAAATACAATCTACAACAGTGAAAAATTGGACAAATCTTTTAATATTTGTTGTATTATTTATTTAACATTTGTATATTGCTGACCGTTTACTACAGTCACGTTGTCAGCTGTTCGCTCGACAATAATACAACGTATTACGAAAGATAATCTTTTCCATAGTCCATCTGGTCAAAGGAAACATTTAAATGTGAAGAGAACTACATGGTACTTTGAATTAAATTGAATTTGTGTCCAAATCAACTAAACACTTGCAAGTTGTACTAAACAGTATTGATTCTAATGTAACCCCTGCACAAGTCTCTGAAGCGTAGAACCACGTAATCGTTATTTATATCATTTATGAAGACAGGAAGCCACAGGAATCAGACAGGGATAAAAAAATGTAGTGCATTAATTTTACAAATTACACTTCTTAAAAAACACAATCAGTGTTCAGTTCAGCGTGGTAATTTCTAAGAATATGACATTAAAAGTTCCTACCGTTCATTCAGTAATTTAGCTTATACCTTTAGCAATAAATCCCTCATCGTCTGTTTATAATACAGAACGGAACATTTCGCTGCTGAAATTCCTATACGGCAAAAAATTCATATACAAAATGCAACATCTTTTGAAAGGAAGCTAACGAACAAATAATTGCATCTCTACAGTCACGATAATCAATGGTTTCCCTAAGCTCTATGGAATGACAATCGTGGAATTTGAATTAATTCGATTCCTACATAACAAGTCATGTTTTTGGTAGAAACACACCTGACAAATAAGTAAAACTTACATATGGAACAAACCAATATAACCAAATGATTATGGCAGAACTGGAATCCTGATCAGAATTAACAAATTCGGTACAAGCCACATTCTTAAACAATAGAAAGAGTTAATGTAATACTTGCGCCTGTATACTTTCCTCCTCGCCTTAGACTAACAGTTAATCATTTTATAGATTTCTATAATTTCTATAATGCCTTATAGCTGCAGGAAACTTAAATCCGAAACGTACGCCGTGGGCCTCTTGCATTGTAAGACCAAATGGAAAACAGCGTTATTATAAAAGTTAAAAATAAGATCGATTACTTTTCACCCTGTAGACTTACATACTGGCCAACGGATTCGAGAAAACTGCACGACCTGATTAATTTCGCAAGTCGGTCCTGGCGCCTCTGTAGAGTGCGGCCGTTTTGTGCGTCTGCGTTTATACTCGGATTTGGTATCCCATAATAGGAAATGGATTTTTTTTTCAGCTGTAGGAGCGTAGCGTTTATGCCAAAAACATGTGTTTTGAAGTTGGACTCGGAGATGGCCCGACCATCTCAGCTTAACCTACTGTAGATTTTGGCGCCGTTGAGCAATGCAATACCCGCTTGTTGTCTTGGGGTGCTTATTTGTCCTGTTTTGATTTCTGTCTAGCGTTTTTTGTGTGATTTTTAACACAGCTGACCATGACCACTAACCATACAACATATAGACTGGTCATTTCATACAACGAAAATGGACACAAAAATTTCTTAGCGGCAGGACCCAGGGCTCTAAGCGGCAGGCCCCGGACACATTGTGCGCGTTCGGTTTTTTTGCGCTTTCATTCTTATTCTCATTTTGATGCTCGCGCACTCATTGCACGAGTTCGGTCGTTCAGTCGCAGAGAGGCGCATTTCGAAGAAGGCATAGAGTAAGAAACTATATAGAGGTTTCATTTGCTCTGCCCGCGCTCTCGAGTGATTTTTGTTCGATCGAACTGGAATCGAGTCCGGCGGTGAGTTTCTGCAGCTGCAGAGAACTCCCCATACTATTGCTTGTGCCTCGCACTTGTTGGGTGTGGTGAGAAACCGAAGTTAGTTTCGAACATGGCTCTCAGCAGAGCTTTGGCAAAGCAAATGAAACCTCTATATAGTTTCTTACTCTATGGTTGAATGAAATGACCAGTCTATATGTTGTATGGTTAGTGCCTTGACAGATCGTTCGACAACCGCAATTCAGTACTTTACCTTAACTAGGCACTAGTTACCATCTCACAAGTTCGTGAACCAAGAAAGAACAATTATATTCTTGGAGAAAATTCAATTTTGTTCCAGGTCGAGCTACGTTGCTGCTTAGTAAGGGAACTCGACTTTGGGTTTTTGGGCCAGATTAGTATAAATTTCATGTTACATCATTTTTAGTTTTCTTATCCTTTTTGACTTTAATAAAACAATATTTATTTATTTCATATTCTTCTTGATTTCCATCTTCGATTTATTCCTAATCGACCCTACACTTCCGACAAACAACACTGGAACAAAAACATTCAACTGTCTCGTCTACACCACCCTCACACATCAATCTATCATTGGGTTTGCAGGCCAGCTGGCCGTTGGCAGTTGGCGCACTCGATTCGGACGACTCTCCAATAAAGCGGCATTGGGTCAGGTCATTGCAGGCACTTTTTGTGCAGTGCCAGATGATTGGCTGCGAAAAAAAATGGGTAATGACTTAATTAGCAACTAACTCAGTGACGTGTGCAGAAAAATTGAAACGCACTTGGACTAACACCACACCTATTAAACGTTTCTACATATATTCTTTCTTCTATCTAATTCTCAGTTGAATCAGCAGCACCACCCACCGCAGGCCAATTGTACAGTAGTAAGTAAGGTGTCAAATACTTTGACTTAATAACCAATAAATTGCCATTTATTTATAGTTTTTTTTGTGAATGCCGTGCCGTTTATCGCGTTCGGATTTCTTGACAACTTTATCATGATCATGGCGGTAAGTTTGTCTTCAGGCTTATCACATTAACTATTCTAGCGAATGCAACTTGCAGGGCGAATATATTGAATATTATTTGGGCCACTTTATAACACTATCTACGATGGCAGCCGCTGGCCTTGGCAACACCATAAGCGATATTCTAGGCATCACCATGGCCACCTATGTGGAGAATGGGTGCCAGATATTGGGTCTAAAGCAGCCCAAGTTAACTCCAGCGCAATTCGAACTGAAGACTAGCAAGCGGTCATCCAGTTATGTAGGCTTTAAGGGTCACCCCTAAAATGGATAATTGATCATTACAAAAGTTTATAATTCTAGGGGCGTATTGTTGGCATCACTGTAGGCTGTTTACTTGGAATGTGCCCCCTGTGGTTGATGGATGAAAAAGCAGATAAAGTAGACGTGGCTGACTAAAGGCACAACAGCTTGGCTAGCTTATTAACTAGATAATCGTATTTAATATGTTTATTTTATTGTTACCATTTGACCGAAATTTATTGTTGGTACTTATTTTATTTTTGAAGCAACAAATTAACTAATTAAGTCTTTATTGAATTTCCTTAAACTAAAGTTCGCATTTTTATTGAATCGCGGCTCAAATTCAAAACTTGATGTCCTCCTAAAAATCATCGAATCGATGAATATATCAAATAAGAGGTTAATGAGTTTTAATCAAGGAATACCATTTTTATACCCTTGCAGAGGATATTATAATTTCAGTCAAAAGTTAGCAACACAGTGAATAAGACATTTCTGACCCTATAAATTCTCTCCGTCCGTGATTCTATGCAAACTAGTCCCTCAGCTTTAAAGCTATCTGCTTTCTATTGCAGATAGTATATAAGTCGGAATGAGCCGGATCGGGCGAGTATATCATAAAGGTCCCATAAGAACAATCGGTAAACAAAATTTAGAAAGTATAACTTTGCTGTATTTAATTTTTTTTATTTGCTCTTTGGGATTTTGTAATAATTAAATACTATGGTATTACGGTTTTAATTAAATTAAAATCGTCCGATTATCGATTAGCTATATCGAAATGTAGTCGTTTTATAATAAGTGCAGGGGTGTATAATCTTCGGCTTGCCAAGGTTTGCTTCCTTTCTTGTTTTTTAATATTTTTTTAATGGTTTAAAGTTAATGGTTCACGAATCCATTGTACTTCCCTGCTGTTGAAATGATTCTGAGTAAAGCTTTTACTTAGACTTATTTTCCATAAACCCACAGTTTTCATGATCCAATGTGACGTTTCGAATTGTGACGCCCTTATAATTGGAAAAACCTTCATGTAATCTCTACACAACAACATTCTCAATACGCTTTAGTCGAGTGCGTCGACTGTCAAGAAACCCATTACACTGTTCCCCCTATAAAAATAAACATGTCTCCGGCAGATAGAGCCAACAATTCATTTGGCGCGGCAAACCACTAATTAAAAGGAGTCATGTGTTGTGGAAAAATTACATAAAAGGATTTTTGACTGCTGTAGTGACGTCACTGATTATGCTTAAATAATTTCTTAATAGCTTAAAAGAGGGCGTGGCAAATGAAAGATCACAGGAACATGATAAACTCAACTCTCCATCTTTTATAATTCCGGAGATCACGATCTTCATACAGACCATCCGCTAGATCGACTCGGCTATTTCGATTATTTTTCTTTCCGTAGCATGTCAATGAGACGACCCTGTCCATGAATTGCTATTATATATCTCTATAAGTACTGCAAAATTTCAAAAATAAGAATGTTTTCCATTTAAGATATATTTTTAGGGGTTGTGAAAGATCGATGAAATTGTGTTTCAACAAACATTCTTATTATTGGCAATATCGCGGAACTTGTAGGTAAACGAATATAAGTTTGTATTGTATTTTTACTCAGGAATACCCAAATTTTAAATTTTGTCATTCTTTTCTTTATTCTATGGATAACTGGTGACAGACTTATCCAAAATTATAAAATGAAAGATTTAAATTAAAAACAAGAGAGAACGCTATAGTAGGGTCCCCGACTATCAGATACCCGTTACTCAGGTAAAGGGAGTGCGAGGGAGATGGAGATAACGATAACGAATGGTCCGATTTGAAAATTTTCTTCTACATTTCGATAGGTATTGATAAACACAATAAAACTGCATTTTTACTTTTCCGAAAAATTTAAATTTTTAAAATCGTATATAAGCGATTGTGGGCGTTAAAGGGGGCGTGGCACCTTTTTGAAACAAACTTGCGCTGCGTAGGAACTCCTAGAATCTGCATGCAAAATGCCAATCTTCTAGCTTTTATAGTTTCCGAGATCTCAGCGTTCATACGGACGGACAGACGGACAGACGGACAGACAGACAGACGGACAGACGGACATGGCTATATCGACTCGGCTAGTGACCCTGATCAAGAATATATATACTTTATAGTTACTCTACGAGTAACGGGTATAACAAGAGAGAACGCTATAGTCGGGTCCCCGACTATCAGATACCCGTTACTCAGGTAAAGGGCGTGCGAGGGAGATGGAGATAGAAACTTTGATTACGCATAACTTTTTAACGAATGGTCCGATTTCAAAACTTTCTTCTACATTTCGATAGGTATTGATAAACACAATAAAACTGCATTTTTATTTTTCCGAAATATTTAAATTTTTAAAATCGTATATTAGCGATTGTGGGCGTTAAAGGGGGCGTGGCACCTTTTTGAAACAAACTTGCGCTGCGTAGGAACTCCTAGAATCTGCATGCAAAATGCCAATCTTCTAGCTTTTATAGTTTCCGAGATCTCAGCGTTCATACGGACAGACAGACAGACGGACAGACGGACATGGCTATATCGACTCGGCTAGTGACCCTGATCAAGAATATATATACTTTATAGGGTCGGACGGACATGGCTATATCGACTCGGCTAGTGACCCTGATCAAGAATATATATACTTTATAGGGTCGGAAACGCTTCCTTCTAGCTGTTACATACTTTTGCACGAATACAATATACCCTTTTACTCTACGAGTAACGGGTATAAAAACTTTTATAAAATTATCAACCCTTTTTATATTACCCATAGTTTGACTTCTGAAGAAAAATATTTAAGATAAATAGCAAATTCTATTAGTAAACCCACGTGTAATGAGTCCAAATGTGTTTAAGTACACTTTACTTTGTATGTAAACCGTTAACTTATTTTCCATAATATATACTTTTGTTTTGGCAGAGGTGTGAGCAACGCCTTTCAGAGATCATGTCTTAATTAATTATTATGCAGGAAAAACTTAATTTTTTTTATAATGAAACCAAAAAAAACAGTTTATGTTTAATATCCTTCAAATCACACTAAAATGTGCCTATTAACATGCATAAAAACTGGCGCCCTGGCTTCAGGGCTAAACTTTTTCATTGGCATTTAAATATATAGAAATGTAGTCTGCAAATCGAATTATAAACTGAGAAAATTGTAGTGAGCTTATAAAAAATGTATCGAATTCCAGTAGCCTTAAATATATGCGTTGGAATAAATTATAATAGACACAAGTAATTTTGTGTTGTTTTCTTAGTACCACTCCGTAGAAACATGAGGTATAAGAGTACCCTAGACCTGACGGACTTAGGACAATGTAGGACAATCATCACGCATCTGTCTGCCGGCATAAGCTCATCGTATCTGGCCGTGTTTCTCGGGAAGCCTCTTCCCTCTTCTCTTGTTAAGCGTCTTCCCTTTCCTACATAACTAGAATAAATATTAAATGTGCTTGTAGAAGAAAGTAATTGTAACGTTCGCCTATCATTAGTCCACACTGTCTCACAAGCTTAGTAGTCGCTTAATCGTAATACGATCGGACAGCGTTTAAAAATCTTCCCCGTCACACGTGTTCGTCTGCCAAATGGATCCACAATTTCGAAGTTGTTTATTATGTTGGCGGTGTTTCCGGCCTAAATGGTCGTTTCACTCAGATCAGTTTCACGGGATTAACTACATTTGCAAGAAACTTGTGTTTACAGTAAAACATTTTTCTTTTAAGATTTGAAGCTCCTCACGCCGGTCTGCCTTGGACGCCTTCTTGCTGTAACTAACTTCTAAGGTAGACCAAGGCGTGGTCAATGCTGCTCAAGTCTTGTTGTTCTCCATTCTTGGCATTAAATACCCCTTCATTCTTTCCCATGGTTACCTAACACGTACAGCGAGTAGACTTTTCTTTTTCGTTGAGTATTAAAAGTAATTCGGCGAATATTCTGGCACCCCGAACCGTTAAAAAGGTTTACTTTAAGGAATTTAACGACCTCGGTGACCTGGCGACTGCATGTCAAATCGGTTGAAGCCAAACAAATTTGCAGAAGTCGTCTAAGCAAACAAACATGTCGGATTATCCAGCTTTGTTCTGGCGATATGGTCCCATCAAGTCGATACAGAACTAGTCCATTTGCATACGCCACCCACAACCAATCCCAGATTGTCTTCTGGAGTCGGCTTAATTATCATTCTATGTGTGGCAGCTGCACATGCGTTTTGGTTGTCCGGAAATTAACTTTACATTATTTGCTAGCTAACTTGTAGATCGTCTTACTCGAAGAGAGGATTTCACCTAACAGCAGCATCTGGTATAATTCGTCGTACACCAGCTTTGGCAGTGCCCACCAACGCGATGATTCCTTCCTTATCAACTTTAGCCGGGACCAAAAGGCGATTGTCATACTTTTTACATTTCACGATGCCTATTACCTGGTCTTATATGATAAGAGAAATTAAGAAAATAAATACTTTAGATCTTGGAAACCAAAAGTTTTATATGTATTGATTTGTAAAAGAGAATAACCAAACCAAATTGATCATATTCTGTGTGTCTCTGGGATATGTAATGTATGAACAACTAAAGTAGAAAGTGTTTTTGAATGTTAATAACAATCCAATTTTTTAGATGAGCTTGAATTTTTGTCATGCAACTCTGCAGAACTTATAGATTGACAACGGTCGCAACTCTACCACGCTTGCAAATTAGATATTTGGAACAAAAGAAACATAACTTAAACTAGTTTGTAGGTCGATTTCAACTAAAACTGAGTAATCGCATTTCAAAATGTTCACTGGAAAAAGAGAATGCCCACTTAAAATATTCTAGTTATAGCAAGCTACAATAACATTTATATTATACACTTTTCCAAAAAAAATTGTGAAATTTATCTTTAATCGAAATATGGGTACATTCAGAGACAAACATTCGAAAGATTTTCCAAAAGAATTGTTTTAAAAAATTAATCAGTTTTCAAAATCTGTGTTGCGGGCGTAAAAACACGTGTACATATGTTTAAAACTTGACATTTTTTAGAAATTCAGTTCATTATAAGCATATAATAGAAAGGTATTTTCCTTGTTATTGTGTAAGTATACAAATTGTAATCACAAAAAACGACAATCAAAATAAAAACTGCAGGAACTCTTGCCCAATATGTTATTGCCCTCTTAGAAAACTTAAAAACATTGTACCCAAGGGTATTGACCAGTTTCCTGCTGATCTCAAGCACTTTAACATTTCTTCAAAAAGAACTGTTGCCCCACCTCAGAATCCGAATCCAACACCACGCCTCCGTCTCCAATAACACTCAAGTGTAAAATCGCTGAATTGGCTGCCGAATTTCCTTAATTTCTTAATGCTGCCAACTCCACTTCCGACTTCGCCGCCTTCGCTG